AAGCAGTGGTATCAACGCAGAGTACTTATTGAACGGTGCATGCATCTGGTTTCAATCTGTAGCAATCGCCGAGTTGCGGGCCTACGAAATCACGTCCTCATGAGTTTTGCCAAAAATGTAAAGATCGCCTGCTTCGTGGTATCAACGCAGAGTACTAGCCACGCCTGGTCACCAATTTTATCGTTCACATCGCTTAAGGAATCTGTTCTGCTGTACTAGAAGTAATTAAATAGATCTGAGCTCTAGCCACGGGTCTGCTTTGATATTCACCTAAGCGGCTCAGGCACACACAGCCACCACATCCAATACAATAAGATCTCGAGGATCTTTCGAGTTGAACACAAAATTGGTGACCAGGCGTGGCTTACAATCACTTAAGTGGAATTTCTACGAAGCAGGCGATCTTTACATTTTTGGCAAAACTCATGAGGACGTGATTTCGTAGGCCCGCAACTCGGCGATTGCTACAGATTGAAACCAGATGCATGCACCGTTCAATAGCACGCTTCCTAGTGAATTTACTTGTAGGGGCAAGCAAGCAGATTTTCTAAGAGGTGCTCGAAAAATGCAGGCGAATCTACGAATTTTCGTGGCTTAGCTAGAGTCCACCATATCTCTGCTAGAAAACTTTGTACTCCGCGCAAAAGACGATTATCGTAAACACCGTGTTCGAAAACCTCTTTGGGCGAAGTTTCCTTACGATACAAGATCATCGACATTTTGACCAAAACCCATCGACGAGCTTCAGGGCGTAGAACGAGAAAAATTCAAATCACCCGAACTTCTTTGAAAACTTGCTCATAGGGATTATCTGACCTGCTGATTACGAAAATCACATCTGCTTAGCAGTAGAGCTTCCCATTTTAGGGTCACGGTGGGCAAAATTCGAGACAACACGATTTTTCCAGAATTCACCAGCTCTTCTATCTTTTTTCAAAAAGATTCTCCGGTTGCTTTTTAGCGCTCAATAATCTGCGGAAGTAGCACAATCCAATAGTGCTTATTGCGGTCTTTTATGTTTGATGTGCACTGCGTTGCGGCCTTGTGAATATACGCGCGCAGGAAATTTTGAAAAAATTGGAAACGGAATTTCAAGGACATTTTGTATACAGTAAGATTTGCCTTGACGAGATGAACACAATGCTACTTTCTGACTTCGAAAATGTTCATTCTGAAGGAAGTTACGGCTAGTAGAACTTGAAACAGCTTGATTTTTCCGGAGTTTATCAGCTCTTCTATCTCTTTTGAAAGAGAGTCATCGGTTGCTGTTTAGCGCAGGTTAATCTAGTGAAAGAGTACTATCGAACGGTGCCCACCGCAGTCTCCTATGTATGATGCTCGTTGCGTTACACCCATGCGAAAAGGCGTCCGCATGCAAATTCAAAATTATTGAAAACAAGATATTGGGGACACCTGTACATCAAAAGATTCGCATTGACGAGCTGAATACAATGCTGTTTTCGGATATTGAAAATACTCATTCGGAAAGAAGTTATGGCCCTGCTAATTTGCGTGATTCACATGAATTTCGCGGAATTTCCGGAAATTTTGCATGTTCTGTGAGTGGTTTTGTACTATAAGTGATAGAGCGATAAAACTCCCACAGCGTCTAAAGTAATTTCTTACTGTATGTCAAAAATGATCCAATTATGTGATATCGTCAGTGATAATTGATAAAATGATGATATCAATGACAACGACAGATAAGAATGGCTTAAATTCATGCGGTCGATTCCCACGTTCATCTTCCATACAGGTGCAGAATTTCAGCCCAGGCTTCGGCGTGAAGCGAGTTGAAGCAAAAATGCCATCCTAGGTAAGAATTGGCAGCTATGGCATGTGCCGATGAGAAATCGATCGATTGCTGCAGCGAGGGATCTACCAATTGCACCGAGCAACAGAAATAGAAAAGCTTGTAGATCACTTATAATGAAAGAAAGAACGATAGAAATTCACACAGCGTTTCCTACAGTACTTTTCTTACCATATGCAAAAAATGATCCAAAAATGTGATATTATCAGTGATAAATGATAAAATGCTTATATCAGTGATGAGGGTAAATAAAAACTGCCCATTTTTTCGTGATAGTTTTCGATAATGAGAACTTCGTACCAGAACCTGCTATTCGCGATTTGCGCGTGATAAGTGTTCACAAAAGCCTTACCATAGAAAATAACAAGGTATCACCATATGTCTACCGTGTCACCATGAATAATGGACATGCTGTATATCAAAAGATTCGTCTCATCAAGCTGAAGCAAAATCTTCACGCAGAGTACAAATAAAATTGTTTTAAAAGAAGTTATAGCTAAATCCCGCTTATCCCGCAAATCCCGCGAATCCCGCAAATTCCGTGAAGTCGCAAATCCCGCGAATCCCGCGAATCCCGACAACCCCGCGAATCCCGACAATCCCGCAATTTTGGACAAATTCTACCGCTGCAACTGTATACTACAATCCCTTAGAAGTATGACCGTAAAATTTCAGCTTTCCACATGCCCTAGTTTTCGAAAATCACCGAATTCAGCTCTCCTCACTCGGGTGTTTCATGCTAAAATCAATATTTCTCGAAAACTAAAGCATGTAGAAAGCTGAAAATTCACGGTTATACTTCTAAGTGATTGTAGTATACAACTGCATGATTGGAAACAGCTTAGCTCCGTTTTTGTAAAAACTTGAAAATTTTCGTTTTCTCGATTTCCAAATGAGGAAGAAAATTAGAAACGGTATATATGAGTGTCTGAGTTACTGTGCCATTTTTGTGAGCAAGTTAGAGATCCGTGGGATTTTACTGAACGAAGATATAAATTTTTCGCGATTTTCTGAGCCTTGAGTGCGACTCACATTTTGGATGCAAACTTACAGTGTGGGTCGAAGCTGATGCAAACTTTTGCATACCAATCTGTAGAGCTTGCTTTGCTCTATCGAATGGTACTCTGTATCCCTGTTGAAAATGTGAACTGCATGACTTATCGCCGTAAGAATTAATAGTGTCTCAAGACTTATGTTACAAAGTAATGCCTGTGCTGTAAAAAGGCTTATTTAGCATCAGTTCTAAATTTCGTGCGCTCTTGAAAGAACAAGTTGAAGTTTGCCAGCCGCGTACCAACATATTGGTGTAGAGGGAAGCAGGTTTTTTCATATATCGCATGTTTGACATCATTTACGATATTCGCTTTAAGCCTTGCCCCCAAAACAAATCGAGTCAGGATCAGATCTAGGCGGGTCCTGAGTTTAGCCTGATGGCCTGCGGTCATTCGTGACTCAAGGACGTTAAAAGGACGCTAACGCAATGGTCTCTGCTGGCCCTCTAATAAGCTCCTCAGAAGTGTTCTCATCACGCGGCATCTCAGAATTGAAAACAAAAATTCTATCAAATTAAACCTACGGTGTGGTCCTGTGATCTCCTCCCTCAGAAACTGTCCGATGCTTCGATGTTTCTCGTCAACATGCCGAATGATTTGATCAACAATCCATCCGTAGGTGTATGCGTGATATCCATTCATTCTACCGGGTTCCCATTTCGGTCGCTCATTCTCAAGAATCTCCCTGATTTTATTATGATCTGCAGCGATTTCTTCCGTTATGGGAGTGTCCAGGTATCCCAAACCTGCCTTGAAAACGCTGTAATTCGTCCCCTGAGTCAGACTATCAAATCAAAGCTTACTTCATGAGAAAGTGCCATTTGCACGGTGACATTTCCTTTTCCATGTTTGGCAAATCCAGGCCAATATGTGGCAATGAGGTCGTCATAGCGAAGTCTTCCACGATCGACTAACAACGCTACACAAACAGCTGCAACCGCCTTTGTAGTGGAAAATGTGATAGACATAGTATCCTAGAAGCGTTTGGTAATGCGAAATATGATGCTCGGAAAGTGTCCTGGATGTTGTCTGTTCCTAACATTCTGTTAAATATGGAGTCTTAAGCGCACCTTCTTCCACTTCCGTTCCGCTTGATGGTCAGCATAGCCTCCCCAAAGATCAACGACTTTCGTACCGTTGACAAAGACGGCAAATGTTGCTCCTTCTCTTTCCCAGCCATCTTCAAAGTTTTTGCTGAAAATGTTAGCTTATACACAATGTAACAGAAGGCATATGATACATTTCATACGCTAATTCGAAAATCCTCGATTTTTTTGATAGAATGTATTTTGCCAGTTGCAACGTAAAGACAACTGAATTTCTTCGTTTTAAACCCCGTCGCCTAAAAACTGCAGATACACGATACAGCTTGGCCTTTTTTCATTTGAACTCCACTTGATGCCAAACCTACTCCGCATACTATAAGCATCTTGTATAGGGTTCTGCGTAATAGCGAAAGTCGGTAAGTGTGCGGTATATTAGGACCGAATCGAATGATTATTCGATCATTCGAATAAATCATTCGAATGAGAATGATTCGGATATTCGAAAATCTGAGATTTCGAATGAAATTCATATACGAAATTTTCAGTCCGAATATATTCAAAAATTTCATCATCTATGACTTGATAATAACGGGCTAAGGGTTGTTTACGTCTGTTTGTCTGTGTGTCTGTGTGTACGTCTGTCTGTCACGAAATTCGTGGAGCGAGTTCCAGTCAACCTTCTGAGCCCAAATTTTGCACAGCGGATGCTGCCAACATGAGAGTCCAATATACAAATGCACGAGCGGACACCTTGAGTGGATCCCTCCAAAAATGCGCGTGAATCGGATCCACTTGGCTTTTGGCCAGTAAAATTGAGCCTATAGCACAACTTTTTGTAAAGCCACTGATATGTTTGACAAGTTAATGTGCAAGTCATGGACTTGAGCCTAAATAAGTGAACTAAAGTTTATTACTTCGCGAAAACGGCGTCAAAAAGAATAGATTACGTGATTGGTTAATTTGCTAAGATTTCACCCGATCATTTGAGAGGATTTTTGCACAGCGTTGTAACCCACGGTGATTGTTGTACCTAATGGTAAACATCAAGCCATAAGAAGTTCAAAAACCAAATCAAATTTTCATTTGTTCTTCTGGGAAAAGTTTTATCCACGCGAAATTACCGACCTCATATGGAAAAGCGTTTGAAATGAGTGATTGTTTACAGATCATTCGTGATAGCCTGCATAGCGCAGTGAGTTTCAATGTCATTATTATGTGGGAATGAGGGCCTCTGCGAAGCAGAGGTGACGCACTGGTTCCAATAATACTCGAAAATCGGATATTCGATGTTCATCGAATATTCGAAGCAGATGAACATCGAATATTCGAATACTCGACGACCATCGAATGGTTCCATAGGCTTTGGCCATACTTTGCCCGTGTTGCCGATGTTACCAGTGTTACCGGTGATACCGATGTTTCCAGTGTTACTCGTGTTACTCGTGTTGCCGATGTTTCCAATGTTACTCGTGTTGCCACCTTTATTGCTGTTGATTCTCGAAATGATCGCCAGTACAGTTTCATTCTTGAACTCAGCCTCACTGAGTGGTGAGTATGCAGGACCTGAAGCGATCATACTGCAATAATAATACCATGCTAGAAACTTGCTTCAAAAAGTTTTTATGACACAAATATAAACATAATGTTTGATTTGTAGCACAATGAGCTCTAATGTACTGGCTAACGTTTTGGACGCCTTGATCGAACTTCAAAAAACCTTGTCTTCGGACGTGTCACATTTTCGCGGCCGTATATGAGAAGGGAGCACATTTCCTTCTTTGAAAAAAACTTTTCAAACTGAAACTAAAAAAAACTGAAAGGAAAAAGAAAAAGAACTTTTTTGAAGCAGGTTTCTAGCATGGTATTATTATTGCAGTATGATCGCCTCAGGTCCTGTATACTCACCACTCAGTGAGACTGCGTTCAAGAATGAAACTGTACTGACGATCATTTCGAGAATCAACAGCAATAAAGGTAGTTACACGAGTAACACTGGAAACATCGGCAACACTGGTAACACTGGTAACATCGGCAACACGGGCAAAGTATGGCCAAAGCCATAAAAGCACCGCACGTCATTGTAAAAGTTTCTATCAAGCTACAACCCTCAAGGGGAGTTATAAGTTGCAAACTCTGGCGCTGCGTACAGTAGTCGTAAGCCATTTCCCGAGTCGCAGTATGTAAATGCTATAGACTTTTTGTTAGTCAATGACGCCAGGGTATCTTCAACCGCTTCTCTCAATTTCTAGACTTTCTAGTCACCTTCTAGTTTTCTAGTCTTTCTAGTCTGTATCGTTGGCCGCACGGACTGGACATCCTATGGAGCACGCACCGCGAAGTAAAACGCTTGCCCCGGTACAAATCCGCCATTGTACAAATCCTGCCCTCGCAACATTTTAGCCGCGCCGCGCAGGTCCGCCGCGTTTACGCAGTTCGTGCGGTTAACGAGTCAACGACACAGTCTGCCGCAATCCCAACCAGACCAAAATTGGCATGGCGGGAACCCGTGCCGCGAAGGTATTGCGTCACACTTACGGCTAGCCAGCCTGCTCTCTCCTCGATCGCTTCGCTCTCTGCGACAGCGCGCGTATGAGCGCAGACCCTTAGCGTTGCGAGCGCGCAAATTCAGCCAGCGGTTCGGCCTGATCCCGATTGAGGCAGACTGTATGTCCAGCAATTCTCTTATCGCTTATGCAGCGCAGAGGCAACGCATATCGGAGTGACGTCAGAGAAGGTAACTAATTTCACGGTCGATACATTTCTTCTTGGCTTGATGTACTTTAGGCTGATCGAACACTTTCGAAAGATGGCATTACTTTTTAGTCATCATCTGGAAATTTATGAAATGAAAAATAAACATGAAAACTATGAACAGAGGAGGACAAGCGTTGCTTGTGCGCCATGTCATCACTGACGGATGAGATTGCCGGATGCCAAATCTGTCCAGTAATGAAGAGTACTTCATGTATGCAGAGTAGTAATCGTATAAAAGGGAACTACAAGGACCACAGCACTTGTAAACTATTTGCTTGACCATGTTACATATCGCATAGACATTTGGTATTCGAAAGTCGAATGATATTCGATATTCGAATTTTCGAGATTTTCGATTTTTGAATATATTCGATATTCGAACATTCGAAAAAAATTTTCGAATTTACCTGAGTACAGTGTGCGGACAATGCCGCATTGAACTTTCTAAGTTATCTCTCTTCTTTAAAACGCTTTTCGCTACTTGATATTAGTTTCCAGTTACATAAAACTATCTTCAAAAATACGGGATTGTTTAACTGGTTTGACGACCCATAGCATTCTGAGCGTGCGATGGCCATAAACTTACGACTCTCGCAATCACGCGGAGCCGTATATAAATTTTTGGCACAAATAACTCATTTACTCTTACTCCTGCAGAAAAACTGCCGAAAAAGTTATTCTTGATTCGAAGGTAAGAACATCTAATAATATTCAAAGGGTTGTGTATGAAATGTCATCAAAACGCTTCGCAGCAGTTTTTCTTTCCACTCTTTCAGAATCGAGCATCAATTACAGGCTTATAGTCTGATCAACTTATCTCAGAACTTTGTGCTGATAGCGCACTCATATCAAGTGCGGGTACATGTGAACGCAAACGCGGTAGAAAAGAAATTCAATGTTTGCAGAGACACATATAAGAAGCTGAAGGAAAGAATCATGAGTGATTTTAGCTGAGTGCATATTATGTGCACTTTTTTCTGTGAGAGATATAAACAGACATATTTCGCCTTGTACAAGTAAAAATGTTTTGTATCATTATTGGGTTATTACAAACAAATAAAAATATTCTTGCAGCTTGCATGTTGCGCATTTCATCCGAACAACAGCAACCGAAACGCGTTCAAAAATACTTATACTCTCAACCGAAAAGTAAGGCCCCGGGCAGACTTCACGCGATTTGATCGTCGCGACTGAATCGCGACAAGACAACTGTTACAACATCATTCCATGCCAATCAACTTGAATTCGGTTGTGATACTTTTCCAGCCCGAAATTTTCGAATGTGAAATGAAAATGAATGGAAATCTTGACGATTAGATCGCGACGATTAAGTCGCGTGAAGTCTGACCGGGGCCTAAAGCGGCAGTCGCGCCGAGCGACGTCATAATCTTATTTGTAGAGACAGAGATGGTTCGCTAGCAGTCGCTTTTTGGTACTTTACACCTACTCTAACAGCATAAGAACAAATATAATATAAGATGATTCGTTTCATGCATAGAAGTGCGAATTTTGCTTTTGTATAAGCGAAGTATTTTACAAATGCAGATGCGATATAACTATTAACAAAGCTTTTATAGTTTCAAATTAGTAGCGAACAAGAACTTCCAAGAAGCATGCTGGTACGGATTCTCTTTCGCTGATTAAAAAGACATATGGCGCTTAGTAAAATCCACAACTTGCAATTCGTACTAGCGGCAGAGATGACTATTTAAATTTCAAGAGTCGTCAGCCTGCACTGTGGCTTCTTACCCAGTATTTCTTCGACATGTTCGGTTGTAAACTGATGTTTATTATAAGTTAGTCAGAAGTAACTCAACGAAAATGTCTCTCTGTCTCGTCACTCCCACACTATTTGCTTCAGTTGACTCTCAACTGAACGTGAACTAACAAAAGTGAGGTAGTCGATCTCGTCAATTAGCTGCATGCCAACTGCCAGTGCACTCTGCATTCTTGCAGCATTGGAAGGGGGCGGTCGTCACTTCAACTTACGGAACCTCAATTAGGCCCTCAGTTCAGGTCAACTGAACTGACGAACTCTACTACGGGCTTTCCTTAGTGTTATCGCTAAGCTGTCTTCAAAAGATCACAGTATGTTCAAGGCGTTGAGAAGATGAGGCAAAGCAGAACAAGACGCTAGAAAAATAAAAGGGGCGAAAATTAAAAAACGACCTCTTTGAAAATATTAGGTTGTTGCAAAATTAATGTCCGTTTTTCTAAACTTATATTCCAAACAACTTTTTCCCGTCAAACTTTCTTTTACGATATAGGATCTGTATATTATTAGAAAGCTCTCATCATGTACTTTCTAATGGTGGAATTAAGTTGCTACCCTCATCTGTGAGAATTTCACCAGCATTTTGCACATCCGCACTCAAAATCGAAATCGCGTAGCTTTCAGTTTCTTGACCACAATTCAGGAGCAAATAAACGAGTTCTTCTGAAAACATAGCAATTGTATTAGATGAAGATTGTTTACCTACTGCGTGCTTACGTAGATTTTTGGAGATATCTGGACTGAGAAATTGACGCCTTGAAATAGATACTCGCTGCTGACATTCTGTGGGTCAGAAATTTCTCATATTTAAGCAATCGCCAAAGCTTTGCCCATTTCTGTAAGCTTGAGATAAGCACACCTCGACTACAATATCTAAAGAAAAACTTAGCTATTCAGTGCGCGAAGAATTCCAAATTTTCATAATTTGGCACTCACAAGCCTACAACGAATAGGCTCAAAAAAGTGAACATTTTTGAATTTTTATCTTTTCTTTTCGCAGAACTCCTTCTTTGGAGTTTTTTCTACACACGTAAACTCATGGCCTGCGGCTACAAAATAAGCTGATTCTCAGCCATACGAACAAAACTTGAAGGGAATTGTAAGCTCTTAAAGACGGGGTTCTCAAAAGAAAAAGTTTCAGTTTTTTGACGCATGGTTTTCTTCCCGTTTGCGATATTGGTACGGGCAGTTATGCGCTAAATTACGAAAGATTTGCTGTTTCTGAAAGTCTTAACTGCATTCTAAAGTATGAAGACTGAACGAAGTTATAGCCTTCCAAATCGAAAATTTGCAAAACGGACATTATTTTTGCAACAACCTAATACCATCTGCTGGACTAACAAGGCAAGGCAGTTATTGGCAAGTAAGGCAGTTATAGGCCTTGTAAGTAAGGCAGTTGTTTGCGAGAAGCGAAACTAATGAAAAATCCACGCAACGAAAATCTGCCAGAACTCGGCAAAAAGTTTCAATAGATAGAGTTACAGCGGCCATGACGAGATAATTCGAGGAGTTTAGATCACCAGAAAGCACAATTTGACTGCTCATTAGCTCAAGAGTTCAGTGGAAGTTCTAGAATTTTTCGTGAGCTTTCTAACTGGTTCGGAACCAAAGGGAGCAGAGAACAAAATCAACATTTTTCTGACTACTTCATTGTTTATACATATATTTCTTTGCGTTCTGCTGATAAGCTTCTTATCTAAATGCAGCTTTAGGTGTTCTTATTGACATTTGCAAGAACCGCTGCGTTGAGTTTATCAATTCACCGATTTTTTATTCTAAGAAAACTCTCTAAATTTAGAAAACGAGCATCTACTGTGTTGATTAGAGAAAAATAGATGAATGCCAGCAAAGCACTCATTGAGAGCACAGATATGAAATGGCATTCAAAAAAAGAGCAAATAAAGACAAGAAAATCGCAAAAAGATTAGTTAATTTTAACGCAAAGCTTCACATGTATTTCCAGAATCATGGGACCACAGTACCATAAATGCACTATTATTAACTTCTGCCGCTTTAATTCTGAAAAATTTAAAACTGCTACCTATGTGAACGCATCTGCTCAACGAAAATCTCATCAGTTAGAAAAACTCATCTAGTTTCTAATGGCGTCCTCGCTGCTGTGATATTTAGAGAGTAAAATCTCCATTTCCGGAAATAAATCGTCAAAAAGCTAAAACGCTGCAGAAAAATCTGAGAGCATGTTTCTTATAGATTTTGTGAGCTGCTATTTCCAATGGTGCCAAGATTGTACTACTTGGCTTTTCTAAGGAAATTATGACCTTGTAAAAAATGCAAAAAACGTTATTTCTGCCGTTTTTAGATTTTTCACGAAAATCATAACTTTCTAAATTTTTCTTTCGGGCATCACTTTTTCACATTAAATGAAAAGCTCGAGGGAAACTTCTATGCAGTAATAATACTGGTTGCGTGATTGTCATACAGCACACAGGGCACCGAGGTAGGTTCGGGGTCTAAACCGCAAAGTTGAACACTTAGTCCACTTAATGTGGTCCAAAATGGCTCGCTCTGAACGGAATTGGAGGGAAGAGATCAAGAGCGCAAATTTTTTTGTCTGGAAACATTTAAAAGATATTCGTCTACTATGAGATTGGTGCAGTTCAAGTACGAAAAATTAGACAGTAACAAACAGTTATTAAATTAGTTATCAAAAGATAACCCAGTGGGAATATTTGAGAACAATAAATTCAAATTTGTGTGCAGTTCGCAAAAAAAGAACAATGACGACAGAGGATCCAACATTTCAAAGTCATTGGCCATTTATTGACAAAAGAATGATGTCAAATCATAACATTTTTCTCAACGAGCGAACAAATGCCATTGTGCAAGGCAATGATTCTCTCTTCCACGAAACTCACATGAATAGCTCCTTTACTTTTTCGTAGCCTCTTTCAACTGTTCCGTCCACATATACAGGCTCTTTTGTACGGAATAATTCAATGAATATAGCAGCAGCAAGTGCAGCAAAAAAAGCAAAGAAAGATATTTTAGCAGCACCCATCACAGGTGGGGGAAGCCTAAAAAGCAACCAAATTACGTGCGATAATTAGATGTGATTGACAGCTAAGAAGCAAGTGTTGACAAAGCTTTGGGAGGTCTGATTGACAGCAATCTTGGGGGCCTCTGCCCAAGAACATGACTTCTTAGAAACCCGAACACGCGTAGACAATGCGGAAAAACTCCTTGGTGACGAAACCGAGCGAAAGGGCGGTGCATGCACCGCCGGACGACTCGCTTATCTAGAGCAAAGCGCTGAAGTGCTGCCACGGTTCCGAATTTCTGATAATTAATCATAGTGCATAGATGTGCGTTTGATTTATTGCAACAACGTCATAAACGCGGAAATCGCGAATGGCGCAAGTTCAAAATCCAAAAAATAATTAGATTATTTGTGAACTCTATTGTGATGCGTTTTGAAGTGCAAGTGAAATCAACAAGTTGAAACTTGATACGTGCAGATACACACAAAATTCGAATAGTCCGTGAAATTTAAGATTTTGTTGTTTATGGATGAATATTTTGTGGAACTCCTCAGTCCTTGTCTAGTGATCAAAAATCAAGGACAACACTCACTGAATCTAATCAAGAAAATGCTTGACGACGTTCTTTGACGGGCAAAGTGCATGTTATGTGAGAATGCACATATTAACTTACGACATGACATGCGTGTAGACCTGTTGCCTTCAATGCTGCTCAAGCACGGAAATTTAGTTCGTTACTTACTTTATGGTTAGCTCTTTTTAAAGAGAGACATTAAAGAAATAATTAAATTGCAACGAACAACCATTTTCAGTGGCTCAAAAAATGATCTGTTAAGACTATAGCCTAGCAGAAATGATTAATGTAGGGTTCTTACATTTCCCATGAGATTAAGTTGGTGCAAAAACTATGCTCGTGGCTTACAGCTTCATAATACTAAAAGTGATTTTTCTCGAGATTCAAAGCACAATTAGGCTGTAGTTTCACAGGCCTCTGGAATCTCGTAGTTACGATACCTAAACTGGAAAGAGTTTACGTTTTACGTAAGAGTTTACGGAGTTGGCCATTTTTCGTTAGTCGTTTTTTTTTTGAGATTCTAGCGCGAGAAATCAGCAAGTGCATATATGAATCCCCTACTTGCTTATATGAATTCAACGGGCAAAGATCCGATTTTGACGTAGTTTGACGGATTTCGTCAATTTACGTCGATCAAAGATTCTGGATCTTTGGCCATTATTTTGTACAGCTTGCTTCAATCTGTCGAACGGCGTTCCAAAGGCGTTTTTTTTTCTCACATGCCTTGGTGGCATAGGTAAGGACATTATTTCTTGCACAATCTAAAGGTCATTTTTAGAGCGCAAGTCGCAAGTAAGTAGTCCGCATTGACAACGGCATTTTCTTTCGCGCAAATGTTGCCACTGCCGCAGAGACACTACACTGATCGCCAATCGCTAAACTGTGCTATCAAAATCGTTCCAGATGTATAGCTCAATCTGCTTGCAAAGGAGCTCGTACACACTTGTCCTGTTGTTCATTTCCCTCCAACAACCACAAGAGCTCTTCTGTGTGGCTCTTCGTGCAATCATTATCGATTGAATAGATTTCTGAATGATCAAGAAGATGGTTCAATAGAGTATGTCAACCTGTAGCTCTTTAGACTTTTCTAATGCTAAAAAAATATTTATCCTTCCCGGAACTAGATATACTGCCTAATTTTTTGATATTATGTCGTGCTTTCATCTTATCAATTTCCGCTGATAATACTCCGCTGATACTGACTAAGCGCCGAGATATGAGAATTAGTGCAAAATACGTACTAATCTTTGGTATCGCGCAACTTCGACTAAACTAGAAAGAGTAGTTGCCAGCGTCTAATCAAAGTCCCCTCTCCACTTTGTTTAATTTACGTGAATTAGGAATTTTGTCTTGATTTCATAGCGGTAAATCATGGGCCTCAGCGTAACGCAGCGATACAAGCTAATGAAGCAAACATAACTAAAAATTCAGGCTGCTAAAATGCTAAAAGCCTAATAAACTGTTTATATGACCTTGATTTTGGAAACCTGCTTTATTGATAAGATAAATTCATGCAGATCGAACCTCCAAAAAATAGGTTATCAATTTTTAAATTTATTTCAACCAATTATTTCCTTCTTCACTGGATGTAGGTGCTGAAAAACATTATTTATCTAACAAGGGAGGTCCGATCAGTCGAAGTGGCCTTTCCAGATGAGTCTTATACCACTTTAAAGCGCATCGAAAGGTGATTTCAAATCTGATTTCATTATCTGCCAAGCGTCTCTGCATGCCGAATTACAATATTTTCTTGGTGCGAAAATTGAACGCATGCTCTGAGCAAAATCGAATTTTACGGCCTTTTCAGCGACCAAATAAAGCAATTTCAAGTATGATGTTTTGGACAGAAGCTATTCTTCACATGGAGTGCTCTGATAATCAACATCGGACCATCTGGGCAATTCCGACCAACTTTGTTCTAATTATGCATTCAATTTTTCAACTCAGAAAAATGCTTATAACTCGACGTCCAAGGGCGCTCGGCAAATAGATAAGGCAGATTTGAAATCAGCGTTCGATGCTCTTTATAGTAGTGTCAATTTCATGTAAAAAGGCCATTTCGACCAAACGAGCCTTTCTTGTAAGAAAAGTCTACGATGAAGAACGGAAGGTCCTTTCAATCTTTTCTGAAATCACTCTAAATCAATTACGAGCTTATATCTTCCTCACAAAAAATTCATACTTTGCAATCTATAAACCGAAAAAAATTATTAAAGTGTATGCAATAGCATATAGTTCATGAAAATATAACTCAAACTGTAGAATGTGTGCAGCTGTAACTTTTCCATTTTAGGCTACTCAATCAACTTAAACATACAGTTTAGCTGGTTCTTCCGACCATACAGTGTGCTTGAGTGCAAGATTCTGCGGATTCCGGGATTACTGGTGTGGTTATTTCTTCACGCGCTAATTATACCGCAAAATTGCGTCGCTGCAAGCACCATATTGAGCGGGAAATCTACACTGTAAACACATGCGAGAGTATTGGGGGGCTCGGAAGGAAATTTTGTTACACAATTTTATTATACAGCGAGAATATACAAAATAGCAATAATAATATGTCACAATTTTACACAATAGAAAATATAAAATGAATTTACAATGTTTTGCTGTCGAAGAAAGCTCAAAAATAATTCTGGATCTCCCATAAAGAAATCATCTGTTCTAATTATAATTCGGAATACGTTCAAGGCATAGCGGAACTGACAAGAGATACATGCTATAATAGTAAATAGGGCTTCATGAATTTGAGCCTATTGGTACTACGATTGCTCAAGGAATATGAAGCTAAAGTCGGCATCTTTAGGTATTACGATTTCGATGAGCACCATTTATCAGTTTGTTAAAGCTCATGAGAATTTCATTTTGTGAATACCGCACTCCCCCTATAAGATCCCGGCAAATGAAGGATGTCACATTCATAATGATCATTCCAACATTACCAATACACGAGTAAAGGACCGGGCATACTTCAAGCGATTTCAATCTCGAGGTGATTTGGCAATATTCCAGGTGTCCACAACTCATTGAAAGCACATTATAAATGTACAGAAGATAGGGCATTTCATCAGGTTACGTAAGTTATACACACTATGCATGTGCAGTTTGCTAATGTTGGATCCGAAGACTTCTGGCGAATTGCCAAATCGCGTCGCGACTGAAATCGCGTGAAGTATGCCCGGCCCTTAAATTGCAAGCATTCGCTCACTCAAAGCTGTGTAGTTATGATAAATTCCCCTCTCTGAAAAATTGCTTTGAGGATTTACAGGTTATTTTAACTGTATGTGCCCGTTATTTGATTGCAGATAATCTCAACTTGACGTTTTTACTTTAATGGACCTATGGATAACAGTTCGTAGAGCTGGCTTCATTAAATTTACAGCACAGAATGAAAAGGAAAACATTTTTCGTTACTGTACAACTACGATAAGAACTTTTAGCACTTTGCGCCACTGTAAAATAGCTGCTTCAAAAAAGTCCAAAAAATCTGAAAAGTTGTGCAGCATGGTTTTCGAGCACTCTGCTTTCATTAGCTAACTTTTCATGATTTTTCACAAATCTGTAGGTTGTAGACGGCGTAGTCACCTTTCAAGGAAGATTGAAAATACAACTGTCACTATATACCTGACACAATTTATAAACGAACTTTCACGTCAAGAAATAAATTTTATATTTCAAGCCAGCGAATTTGATTAGCCTAGACCAAGCCTCTAGATTGTTTAGTTCCTTGTGAGGTGAAATTCAGCCCCTGAGGACCCGAAACTTTCCTCTAAGTTCCTATAGAGTAACAAGGTGGTATAACAGGGTAACATTGTGATTCGTTCTAGGCAATCTAGATTGAAGCCAGCCCCTACCAGTGATATATATATCCATAAATCCGCTGGAAACCTCAACACATACTTTTGAAAGACTTGGGTAAGATATATCTTGATATTCATGTGTCTTCCTTTCCCTCCCATCTCCTCTTCTCTGGAAACATTCCGGCAGTGAAGTAAGTGATAACTGGCATGGATTCTTCATAAGTTAGCCGAACTACTCCTGCTTCGCTATCACTGGTGCAACCACATCGCGTAATATGAAACAGTTCAAGCAACTTCTTCCCTTGTACCACGAAGTACTCGTTCAGAAGGAAGGGATCCGTTTCTTCCAAAAGTTCCATTTCCTCGGTCGATTCCGATTTGAGTGACGCGGACCCTTCTTCCTAAAAAGCAAAACACTATTTTTAACTGACTTAAAAACAAGACAATGGATTTCACTGAGACTGTGCCGACAACTGCGGCACGCGGACCACGCGGAGCTGGGACTATAGTAGGCATAGGATATGTGGACCGGCCAGAATTTGATTTTACCCAAAACTCTCTATAAGCAGTGTTCTCCAGCATGACCATTAAACTATGATATGGTTAATGCACGAAAGAGCCTTTTTCTGATGTTACCACCGGCGGTTGCAGATATGTAGTTTCCTTGACCGCTTAGATAGGGACTTCACGCACAACGATCATAATTCCAATCAATTATCCATTTTAATGAACAGAATTCTGGTGGATTTGCAATACTGAATCTTTCAAAAGCAACCATCGTACTAGAAAATGGCGCTACCTTGCGAAACAGTAGGGCGTTTCGAACAATATTCTTACAGCTGAGCAGAGCTATCGTAGTGTCGTTGCGGCGCAAACTTGCCGAGAATTGTCGATTTGTTAATCGCACAGACTGTATAATATCTCCTCCATGACGAAGGCGGTCGCTCAAATAGGTTGACAGCATGCAAGGCTGACGCGCACGCGGCGCGCGGGCAATTGTCAACCACGGGTCGCGCGCACGCTCGCGTGAATGACCGCTGACCGAGCGTGCGTGCGCCCTGTGGTTGACAATTGCGCGCGCGCCGCAGCTTTGCATGTTTTCAACCCATTTGGGCGACCGCCTTCCTTGGAGCAGATATTATCACTGCTGAGCACGCGCCGCATAGCAAAACGCTTGCGTACAAATTCGCCATTGTGCAAGTCGTGCTCTCGCAACACTTTAGCCGCGCCGCGCTGGTCCGCAACGTCCGAGCAGTCCGTGCGGTCAACGAATCGACGATACGCCTATGCTGCTGGCATTATCTTTGCTCAAGTGGGCGGCATTCGAACCGTGGCTATTTCTTCACGCGCAAATTCCACCGCAAAATCTTTGCACCGCAAGGGCATTTAGCGACAGACCTACTCAATTTTATCCTCTATCCATCAACCACACGGAGGCCATCACAAGGCGTACGCGATGCGCGCGAGTTTGTCCCAGGACAAATCGCAATTGTGCAAGACGTGCTCTCGCATCGTTCTAGACGCGCGTTGCGGTTGTGCTGCAGACACAACCAGACCTTGCGGTTGATGTATTAGGTTGTCAAGAAAATAATGTCCGTTTTTAGCTTGCTTTAACAAAGCAACCAGACTGAACCCAACAAAGGGTAAGGGGTACTGTTCGATAGAGCAAAGCAAGCTCTACAAGATGGCACTCATGTCTGCGCCAAGCTCGATCCACTGAGAGTTCGAACTCAAAATCTAAAGATTTCCAAATGCCCAAATAATCGAAAAAAATCAGATCTTCGTCCAGATAATTTCTACGGACCTCCTACTCGCTTATATCAATACTATCGATATCAGATATCCATATGTGCGATTGGCGTATTTTTTTCTTGACTAGAAACTGAGAAAACGAAAATTTCCCTGATTTTCTCAAAGCAATGCTGAGCCGTTTCTGCAAGTGTGGTTCTATACTATAAGCCTAGGTAAGTATAACTGTAGATTTTCAGCCCATTCCAAGCGGTAGTTTTCGAAAAATAACGAATTCGGATTTTTTCTTTTCAGTTTCAGTGCTAAAATCGACATTTCTCGAAAAGTACCGCTCGAAATAGGCTGAAAACCTACAATTATGCTTACCTAGGCTTATAGTATAGAACCACACTTGCAGAAACGGCTCAGCATTGCTTTGAGAAAATCAGGGAAATTTTCGTTTTCTCAGTTTCTAGTCAAGGAAAAAATACGCCAATCGCACATATGGATATCTGATATCGATAGTATTGATATGAGCGAGTGGGAGGTCCGTAGAAATTATCTGGACGAAGATCTGATTTTTTTCGATTTTTTGGGCATTTGGAAATCTTAAGATTTTGAGTTCAAACTCTCAGTGGATCGAGCTTGGCGCAAAGACATGAGTGCCATCTCGTAGAGCTTGCTTTGCTCTATCGAACAGTACCCCTTACCTTTGTTGGGTTCAGTCTGGTTGCTTTGTTAAAGCAAGCAAATAAAAACGGACATTATTTTATTGACAACCTAATATATTGGATACGCAGAGCTTGAGCACATTTGACTTCCTGTTTAACTAGTGTAACAGCGGCTTTTTCTCGGCTCGTCCCTACGGTATACGACGCGGCGTGCAGTGTACTGCCAATAAGCGACGCCTCCGTATACATACACCTCACCAAGCTAGGCTGGGTTCATACTGATCCGTAAGTTTGGAACAGTTCCAGCATAGCGCATAGTTTGAGCGCTGTGCTGGCACAGTTCCAGAACTCACAGATTGTATGGACCCAGCTCAAGCCGTGAACACTCGTCCGCGAACACCGCACTTATTGGCAGTACTCCGGCTACTGCCCAGTACGGCACCGAACCGACACTCCGCGACTTTAGACATAGCCTACATTCTCCATACAACCCACTATTTGCGATGATCCAGCATCACCATAGCTGAATGGGGCAGAGGTGCGCTTCATTTGGTCTATGGGCTTGCCTTCGCTCTCAAGAAGTATCATCGGTTCCCAGATTCGTTCGGAGGCGGAGTCACTCAAAGAGTGGCGATTTTTGAAGATTAAAAAAGCAATGCGATAACGTGGAGATTTAACAAGTTTATCCTTATAATCAGAAAAATGCGCAACCACCTCCATACGAATCTGCGAGCCGATCACACTTCCTTAGTCATGTTCCAAGATATGTATAGGTCTTTATGTAATCGTCACGACGGATTCGACTGCGGACTTTGCGCCCACAGGGCATAGAACGCTCACACAAGAAGACATCACCGTAAGTAAGCCTCACCCTCTCAATGCTAGGCTGCACCCAATTTGCCTAAATCTGTGCAAATCAAGGCAACTTCTGGCAAGGAGAGGAGATGCTCCATCCATTTCTTATGCATTTGCCACACACACACACACACACACACACACACACACACACACACACACACACACACACACACACACACACACACACACACACACACACACACACACACACACACACACACACACACACACACACACACACACACACACACACACACACACACACACACACACACACACACACACACACACACACACACACACACACACACACACACACACACACACACACACACACACACACACACACACACACACACACACACACACACACACACACACACACACACACACACACACACACACACACACACACACACACACACACACACACACACACACACACACACACACACACACACACACACACACACACACACACACACACACACACACACACACACACACACACACACACACACACACACACACACACACACACACACACACACACACACACACACACACACACACACACACACACACACACACACACACACACACACACACACACACACACACACACACACACACACACACACACACACACACACACACACACACACACACACACACACACACACACACACACACACACACACACACACACACACACACACACACACACACACACACACACACACACACACACACACACACACACACACACACACACACACACACACACACACACACACACACACACACACACACACACACACACACACACACACACACACACACACACACACACACACACACACACACACACACACACACACACACACACACACACACACACACACACACACACACACACACACACACACACACACACACACACACACACACACACACACACACACACACACACACATGCATATTTAGAGCTATGGTAGGCGCCAGACAAAGCGACTGTTTTGTTCAGCTGCAGAGGGCGCGCAGAATTAGCATTAATTTTGAGCATGATTGCCTCTTCAGCTGCAGGACCGCGCAAAACTGTTAATTCTGCGCGCCTTCTGCAGCTGAACAAAGTTGCTTAGCCTGGCGCCTACCTATATAACTATGTGAGAAAAGACAAACAATTGCACAAAAACCTCTCGTTCTGTGAGACAGACATAACCTCCTGTTCTACGAGACGGCATAAAAAATAGTTCGTCGTCAGAGTGTTGGTTCAAACCTGTGTATGTTCTGGTTGTTGCTGCTGGTCGTCTTTGTGAGGAACAGTCCAGCCATTAGATCCAAAGTATTTTTTCATATAGAAATTCAGATAACGGCAGACATCATTCTTGTCAATGGTGACGTCAGTCTATATGTAGCATAATTTCTATCACCGCAAAAATATAGAAAAATAATAAAAAGTACTGACAGCAAAGGATCCAATCTCAAGATTGAGGCTGTCCACGATGTCGTCATGAATATCCACCGCAGTTATGTATGCAGCATCTTCTAGCGTCCTAGATATTTTTCCGCCACTTACCACCACCTCTGCCAGGAGATTTTGTGCCTAATCTGATATCAGCTTCTCATTCGTCTAGTCTGAAGAAACTTACGGAATGTATAAAATGAGTCACACACAGACTCTTCGAAAAGTACGTCTCCATGAGCTCCTGAGGGATCGATGTGAAGCGATTTAGCGTTGATACGAAGATCGCGTTGTGTAATTTACTCCTTGACGAACGGCTTAGGAGGCTTCTCTGAGGGATTCTCTTTTCACACAGACTGCAGTTGACCATCTCGAAGCTCTAGATAAAACGCGTTTTCTTATATGAGGGATCGTTCAGACCGCGCCGGTACCCGTCCAAATCCGCCCAATTACGTCCGAATACGCCCAAACCCGCCCGAACCCGTCTAAACGTCGGAACTGCCAAAGCCAGCAGATATGCGTAATTGGCATATTGGAGCACCCGTGGAATACTGCGCGCGTGGTGCATGAATCTATCTTAGTCACATGTAGCTCGACGTATATCTGGCGCTTTGGCAGTTCCGGCGTTCAGACGGGCTCGGGCGGATTCGGACGTATTTGGGCGAGTTCGCACGTATTCGGGCGGGTTTGGGCGGATACGGACGTATTTAGGCGGGTTCGGGCGGATTCGGACGGGTACCAGCGCGGTCTGCTACATCCCTGATAATGGAAGGAGTCATGAGAGGTGGACCAGTGATCCGCCTACTCTATCGCGATCGAGCGCCCTATACACAGTCTATTGCAAAACTACGCTTTTTTTCTCAAGAGAAAACCATGAGATGAGATTCAATCACAGTTCAAAACACTTATGCTGGAAGAACGGACAGAGATAGATGTCGACACATCAAAGTATATCTGCGAGTTTACGTGGTTCCTCTGGGACCGGCCATACTATTCCAGTATTCCTGCGACTCCAGTAATTCCTGCAGTTCTTGTTAATTTTCGACTTCCGATGTGCCGCACTAGGGAGCGTTTAGCGAGCTTCCGTATACATTGTTTTTCGCAATATTCACTGTTACGGGACTAGCAGCATTCACAGGAACAGCAATTGCAGGAATCACAGGAATAGCACGATGGAAGACCCTCAGTTCAAATAATACTTTTTTCCAAAGATGAAAGCCCTGAATCAACTGGGTCATGTTATTCTAGATCTAGACTAGATAAATTTCAGAAAGTTCTCTGAATTTCCGCCATGATGTCTTTTGACAGTCTAATAGGGTATGGTAGGGCATTAGATTCTTGTACTAAACATCTGAGACACCTCCAAAACACCAGTTTCACTGGCTTTATTGTTCCCACTCGCCGATGCAATTAACTATCGAAAACAACAAATAACTATGCAAAGTAACAATAAAAGTACACAACACGAAAGTAACAAGTAACAACTGATTAGATAAGAAGCTTTTCTACATCTTCCTTGAGCTTCTGAATCTGAGATTTTAGCTGAGATCCTTCATTCTGAGTAATGGATACGGCAATAACGGGACGGGTAACGCCACAAGCACGTCCAAGAGCAGCTTTGCTTCGAACAAAAACATATGGAACGTTCTTATCTTCGCAGAGCAGCGGAAGGTGGAGAATGATTTCCAAAGGCTCTGCGTCCGCTGCCATGATGATGACCTAATCAGCAAAGATTAAAGGTGAAGGAACAATTATTCACAAGTATAGTTACCTCAGCAATTCCTCTGTTCAGAGTTTTAGTAGCCTCATTGGCCCCCTTCTTGAGCTGCTTATAATTCATAGCTTGCTGCACAAGATCAAGAAGCTTCTGCGAAAGTTGGGTATCGGCGAGTGGATAGGCCTTCGGATTGACTCCATCATCGGCCATTTTTTTCTATTCTTCTGAAGAAAAGAACTTGAGTTGATACAGTGATTGACGCCATATGTGCGGTTAACTCAGAAGAGACTAGAATATTCGACTACATCAACAACGAAGGGCTAGGCGAGGAAGTCCTGCTTATTTTGGAATTCGCGCTATGGGTCATACGGCGATGATCAAAATGGCAGTATATGTACGAATCTTTTTTAAAGGAGAGAATATAAGAAAGAGATCAGAAATGAGGAACACTTCCCTAGATGCAAAAGCTTTATATTTTGACTCAAGAAATTCAGCTATTTCTAGTATGTTTGGAACTCTGTTCATTCACACCAAACTTCGCCTAGCTGCATTTTCGAATGAAATACAAATTCGTTTTGACTGTTTCTTAGTTCCACCTCTCACTTCACTGATCAAAAAGCATTTCAGACGCCATCTCAAACTCTCAATTTCTCCCAAATGCAAATGAAGTATGAAATCATAATGGTTGCTACAAACTGACAATAAAGAAGCTTGTAACGAGAAAAAAGCATTCAACTTTGAAACGAGCCCAAATTCGAAAAAGTTAAATTTGGCGAAAGCCTAATGTGGGCAACTCGTCCGCGAAATCGAGGGGTCCCAGCACGGAATCGTTTGCGGCAAACTTCCAAAACGAAATCAATTCGAAATGCAGAGTTGTCTCACATTTTTATTATTGTTGTTTTTTCTTTCGAAACTTGTTTTCGCTGCTTTGATTACTTTTATCGGGTATGGTCCGGTTTTGGGTTATAGGCGACGAAGTCGAGGCACCCCGCTGGTTGTGGTATCAGCTTGTAACTTCCTAACTCACAGAGTCACAAGTTGAGACTACAAAACATCTTAAAAAGAGACTTATTTTCAAAATCTAAAGAAATCAGTTCGAAAAATCACATCAGAAGAGTGCACTAGATAATTTTCGAGTCATTTTCCAATTTTCGCTGAAGTCTGCAGGCCTCGCACCTCAAAAGGGACTGAATTAGAATTTGGGAAGCTGTATCAATTGCTCTATTTTGTTACGGAGACTCAAGAAGTTTTGGACTTGGAGAGGAAGTGGTGTCTAACCACACTGGACCACAAAATGTGGACTTTGATTGCAAGTTACAGGAGCTGCATCAAACGAAATAAAAAGAGAACTAAACAACAACCAGGAGCACATAAAATATGCTCTGTTTCTTGTTTTTTGTTTTGTTTGGGAAGTACATAGGCAGTTTGCAACCTAGTAGTCTATCACTTTGTAAACCTTGGAGATGGAGTCTTTCGGGTGCTTCAGAACCATTTGAAGTGTTGAAATCGCCATTAATGCCATGTGAGAAACGTTAAGTTGTGAAGATGTCACAGCCAATTTATCAATCACTTAGATGAAGACCCCTTGTCCTCTCTGAGCGAAAATGATCGACATTTCTGTACACTGAGGAGCACAGTTCTATTCTTGACACTCCTAACGGTCCAAAACTTAACGGATTTACCTCAAATATCTGCCCGAATGCTGCCTCCTGCCGGAGTAATATGCTTGTGTTTAAATCTAGCAAAATTTGCCCATTGATGAAAACTGTTGGCTTCATGAAAGAGATATGTTTTAGTAAAATGTACTGTAGAAAGGTCTCTGCTTTCTCAGCTAAAGGATGTGGAAATGTGCTGCTAAATGTCTCTTATTTCCGGTCGAATAATTGTCGTCGTATGAGCAACCCGCTTCTTTATCGTTTAACCTCTTGCAGAAAAATGGGGGCGGACGACAAAAGGGATAGGATCAAAGTCCTACAAGTTTCGAACATATCCGTTACCGCTACAAAGGATCAGATATTCACTATGTTTCAGTATATAGGAAGAATTGAAGAAATGAAGGTTAGTGATTTTACTTTCTCTATGCTTTGTACATGTTTTTACCTTTTGCTTTGACGCTTTATACATTGCTGGTATTGTCTATGACAGATTAGCATCTCACTTACGTGCTTGCTAAAGGATTTATGAATATTTTTGACAAAATATTTACCGTATGTACAGGATGGGTGACGTTCTTTCAAACTCATTTTCCTAACGTTTCACCATAAAGTCTAGTTGATACTCATTTGCGACTGCAAATGTTTGTCTAAAGGGTCGGGCATACTTCACGCGATCTCAGTCGCGACGCGATTTGGCAATTTGCCAGAAGTCATCAGATCCAACACTAGCAAATTGCACATGCATAGTGCGTATAACTTACGTGGTTTGATAAAATGCCCTATCTTCTGTACATCCAAAAAGTGTTTACAGTGAGTTATGAACAGTTGGAATTTTGCCAAATCGCGTCGCGACTGAAATCGCGTGAATTATGCCCGGCCTTTAAAGAAATCTTCTGTACCGCGACTGAAATCGCGTGAATTATGCCCGGCCCTTAAAGGAATCTTTTGTAAATTTGCCTCATGCAAAGCTTCCATTTTCTGCTTTTCATTGTCACTGCTTGGCTCATATCAAGTTCACTTATCAGCACAGCAAACCTTTGTCACCCGCAGTTTCCTTTTATCTTTTAGGTTTACCCATCGGACATGAACATTACCTCTTCTACGGTCTCGAAGTGTGCGTTCATAAAATACGATGATGATCGTGCTGTGGAAGTGGGACAACATCTTACGAATACTGTTCTCATTGATCGCGCTATAGTTTGCGCTCCATTCTTACAAAGTAAGTGTAGTATTCATTCAAGAGGTTTTCGAGATGCGTCTATGTTTGTCTTGTGTTTTGGATACCATCAGCCTTGCTAGAACGCGGGTAATTTAATTTACCGGAAGTGTGCTCAGATGTAAACGTCACATGTAAGTTCTGTGTTGGATTTTCAATCAGTTTGAGCGATTGAGCCTTTCCACTCTTGCCAAGCATGCAATTATGGAATGGGCTGATCACCTCTAAGCACAAGAAAGGTCTAGGCGCACGCTATGGGAGTGTCAACTCCAGAACATGGCTTTACCATGAAGAAAGTGCTGCTGTCCTAATACATATTGGAATTTTAGATGCTATTCCCGATGAGGCTACGTTCATCAACTCCGGTGGTCCAGTCACAGCTGGGCAGCGTCAGTTACCTCCTCATGTAACCAACAAAATACAGCAGCTTGAGGATGGAACATCAGTGGTAATGCAATTTTGTAATTTTATACGCTTTGTCTTTCATCAACAACTACTGTCGTCCGTTCTTGCAGCTATTTTTCTCATTTTCACTCTGGTTGCACATACTTTACGGTCTCCAGTACTTTGAAAATGTCGCTTATACAACGATCTGTTTCAGTTGCTTACAGTGGACCCGCAAATGGAAGCTCTTGGTCTTCCTGCCTACCCGCCTTTGCCTGGAAACACTGACCTAAACAAAGTTGAAGAAATCAGAAGAACAATCTACGTGGGAAATCTTCCGAAAGGTGTAGATGGTCAGGCTGTGCTGAATTTCTTCAACGAGTTCGTTGGCGAGGTTGGTGCTCATTTTTCTGGACGTTTTGCTTCTCATCTGGTTTCTTAAGGTTATGTATCTGCGAATGGCTACGGCTCCTGACTCTCTTCCTTGTGCGTATGCTTACATTGAGTTTACCAATCAGACTTCTGTGCCTATTGCTCTTCAGAATAACGGCATCGATTATGAAGGCAGACCTCTTCGGTGTGACTTATTGTTTTGTGAATGTTGCACAAAAGTTGGAATGTTTCTTCCAGAATTCAACATTCCCGCGTCGCTATAATAAAGCCGCAAGCCAAATCTGCCGATCAAGCATTGGAGGAGGTAGAAGAAGCTATCCGAATGGGAAAAAGTGAGTTCATAAGTCATCGCACATGTAGGATAGAATAGTAAGAAGTAGTTAAGATGGACGATCTCGCTCTCGTTCCCCTCTTCGCCGTCGCCGCACGCCGTCACCTCGTCGCAAAAGCAGATCACCACGCCGACGTAGGAGTCGCTCGAAGTCGCGGTCTCGCGATCGCCGTCGCAGTCGTTCGAAATCGCGTGATCGCAAGAGAAGTCGATCACGCGAAAAGAAGCGCAGCAGAAGCAGAGAAAGGCGAAGGAGTCGAAGCCGGTACAGTTTTACATTTGGTCATCTCATTTATTTTATGCTCTTAGTTTCGCTTGCTATTTTTTATCCCACCAGATACCTTTGTTCATGTAATACCACTTTTATGGTAATTTTTTGAGTGCATGCTCACACAGCGTTTATATATATACTAGCTGATCGTCTTAGGCCTAAGGCTTCATACATACCTGACGATGGGTGGCTATAGCTGACGATGCGTCGCTGCTAGCAGCAACGCTTTTTATGCGTATCGATTGCAGCCAAGCGACGCTGCTGCTCCTAGCTGCTGCAGCCATCGCGAAACAGACCCGCTATAGCTAGCGATGCTGCGCTGCTTCTAGCTACTCCCAGCTGCTCGTTGCTGCTCCTCGCTGCTACGCGATATGAAGCTCACTTTTTGTGAGCTTTTCTCAGCTGCTCCATGCTGCTATCAGCTGATTTCGCTCGGATTTGCTTCTATTTACCATTTTTTTGTGTTTTCAAAGAATTTCCAGAGCATTTCTTGCGATAAGTGCGAACTATGACATTTTGCGAGACTATTAAAAGGACAAATGCATAGGTGAACAAATCAATCTGAACGAGATAAACTCTACAAGACCTCTGGAATCAAAATAGAATACGATAGAGTACGATGAACAGCTAGAGGCAGATATTTATCAAGGAAGATAGTGGGATGTCGCTAGCCCACTTATGCAATACGGCAGGGAATAGACATAGTTTAATTGTTGCCTCAAGCACACGTAAAGGTCATGTGTGACATTCAAATTAATCTGTCAAACTATCTCAATTTCTTCAGTAAATGCAGCATTTGTGCGCGTGCTTATTACAAACAAAATTTTATATTGATAGTAGTGTGCTATATTTCATAATTCATGGATTCCAGCGATGAGATTCATGAATTCATTTCATCGTTAATCTAGATCAGCTGGGAGGGCTGATAATACTTTGCTGCTGCACCTAAAATGCACCCATGCGCAGCAGCTTCAAGCAGCTAGAAGCAGCGGAGACAGCAGCGATTCGCCAATACCCGCTATACCTCCATCGTCAGGTATGTATGAAGCCTAAGGCATACCTCGCGCGATTCCTGTCGCTGCGCGATTTGACACAACAGCGACTCTCTGTAACTCGTCGTCAGTGCGTTTCCTTTGGTCAAAACTCAACCCATTTGCAACAACTTACACAAGCTACCCGCCTATGCGTTCGAGAAGCGCGCACGATAAATTTATAGAAATCTGGCAAATCGCCAAGTCGCGTGAAAGTGGCGATTTGGCCAAATTGCGTGAGGTATGCCTTAGGTCTTAGTCGTGCTTTGCAGAGAACGGCGGAGTAGGCGCTCCCGTTCGCGTGAAAAGAAGCGTGAACGCTCAAGATCGCGCGATAGAAAGAAGGAGAAAGAAAAAGATAGGAAGGAAAAGAAGCGGAGTAGAAGTCGCGATAGGAAAAAAGACAAGGTTTGTTCAATTTCCAAGCAGCTCTTCTCTTCATCCATTTACTAATTTTCGTCTTTCTCTTCAGGATAGTAAAAGTGATCGCAGCTCAGATCGAAGGAAAGATAAAGAAAAGGACAAGAAGGAGAAAGATAAATCCAAGGTGATTTACTGCCTTCTTATTCATTTTCCTCATTTATGCTCATTTTTAAGGAGGCAAAAGTTGAGGAGCTCGACGAGGAAGCTTTGAGAGAACGTTTGCTTGAGAAAGCCGCTAGTCGAAGTGGAAAAGACGGGTGATAAACTTGCCCTTTTTTGATAAATCTGAGTTGCGAAATTCATTGAGGCTCTTCCCTTTTCAGTTCTGAAAGTGATCGAGAAAGCGAAGTAGATAAAGCAGGTGACAAGACGCCAAGCAAGATAAAAAATGAACGAAAGAGACGACGCAGTGACAGCGATTGAGGGATGTGCATGGTCACCTATGTTATTTGTTCCTATAGAATAACTTTTCTTTTTGATGCAGAGATCTCTTTTAAAATGTTTCCTTAATGTTGGGGCCAGTTGAATTTCAATACAGTTGTTGCTTATTTTTCGAGTTCAATGTTCTTATGCATAGTCGAGGTGTGTCGTCCGCTGTAGGGTTTGCCAAAATATGTCTTTAGAAAGTGACTGGTAATAAATGATTGATTGTGTAGTTGAGTTTGACTTTTATGTCCATGAGTGTTCGTCTCAAAATGCTTACAATGTTATCTGTATTTACGATAAAAAGTTATCCGGTTTAGAGCTATGCTGGCGCGGCGTCTCAGTGCATTGTGCATCCGCAGTGTGAGTGGGAAGCAATTGGTGTATGCTGAATATGGAGATCCCACTAAGGTATCTGATCTAATGTAGCATGGCAAGAATATCTGTCCATCAGTTTAGGTAGTCAAACTCCAAACAATTGATTTAAATGATACGCCTCCGAGTGGGCAAGTGCACGTAAAGTGGATCGCGTCTCCTATCAATCCTGCGGATCTGAATACATTGCAAGGCGTTTATCCCATCAAGCCACCACTTCCTGCTGTTGGGGGCAGTGAAGGTTTTGGACGCGTTGAAAAGGTTAGCCAAGAAATTTTTCGTGCTCTTATACAATAGCTTTTGGCTCAGATATGCTCAGATCATGCAAAATTTCAATTTACAAAACCAAAACTATGGGGATGCGGCTGTATTCAAATAGCAGAATGAAAATATGCGCAGTTATACTTCTGCCTGTTAGTTGAATTCAAAGCTCATCAAGTAAGCTGTCATCCATGAGACTAGTGCATTCGAGAACGTTTGTGCGTGTGTATCATAGATTAGGTGATATAAGACTAGGGAGGACATTATCTTTGCCTCATTGTCTAAAGTTGATCAAAATCTCCACTATCTACGATAAGGGGCGTATGCAGATGCGCAAATCCTTTGGCCAGCTTGACTATGCCTGCTATCATTGTTGCCATGGCGCACTTACCCAACCACTTCATCTAGAACCTAGGACTGGTGTTGCACGGCGGCCTACGATTATTTTTTAGCTCGGTGATGGAGTGAAAACTTTGAAAGTTGGTGATCATGTCTTACCTTCAAGATCAGGATTAGGCATATGGAGAACTGACGGCTACCATAAAGAAACGGATCTTTTTCAAATTGACAAAACACTTCCTCTAGAGGCTAGCGCCAGTCTTCAGGTAATGAATATTCATGTTCTACCTTTTTCATGTAATCCACAGAACCCTCTTAAACACTTTTTTCAAAAATTACTTATCGACAGTTTGACGACCACTTATCCGTCAATGAACTCTTTGCTAGGTAAATCCTCCTACTGCATACAGAATGTTGAAAGATTTCGTCGATCTTAAAGAAGGCGATACGATCATACAAAACGGCGCCAACTCATCAGTTGGAAAGGCAGCAATTCAGGTAACCCTCACTTACTTACCAGATCTGACGTCACATCTTCTTTTCCACGAGTTTCCAGATATGTCGAATACGAGGTATACGCTCTATAAACATCGTGCGTAAAAGAGATAATATGGCTGCTTTCATCAGTTCACTGAAAGCGTTGGGAGCTAATGAAGTTATCACTGAAGACCAACTCGTCAAGGAGTATCGGTAGATAGTAAGATAATTTTTTGACCTTTGATCAGTGTTTAGTTATTGTTTAAGTGGCAAAATAAAAGATGTGCGATTGGCGCTCAACTGTGTCGGTGGAAGATCAGCATTACTATTAGCTACTACACTTGGACACGGCGGATGCATGGTCACGTATGGAGGAATGAGCAAACAGCCATTGCAGGTTGCACATCCACACAGACTTATTCCTAACTTTGGCGAAATTGACAATTCTTGCTATTTTCTTCCCTTTTTGACATCTATTTGACACGACTTGATTTTTTCAACATGTATTTCAGGTAGGTAAAAAATTTCGAGCTGCAGCTTATCTTAGCTTTAGGTTCCCACAGGGCCTTTGATCTTCAAAGATATCCGCTTGGTTGGATTCTGGATGTCACGGTGGTACGAAGACCAGAAAAATCTGGAGGTCCGTTTCTCCTTTGACCTATATACCCCATAGGTCTCTTTATTTTTGTTTTAGGAACGGAAGCGGATGAATGCTGATTTAACATCCTGGATCAAATCTGGCGAATTTCGTCCACCTACATTCGAGAAACGAAATTTGGAGCACTACAAGGAAGCACTTGAGGCAGCCGCAACCAGTTTTGTCAAAAAGCAGTTATTTATCCTTTGAATTAGGTTTCTATTTTAGAGAAAAATAAATATTTATCTGTAGAATACGGAACTGCTTTCGAAACCTGTTCAAAACAGAATATCTTCTACACTTATGCTGCACCCGCGTGTATCCGAATGTGTCAGGCTCACACACAACCAGCCGTTTCTAGATATCTGGGTCTCTTCTTGTGTAATCTGATTGGGTTTGTAAACTTTCACCCAGACCGTAATCCTTTTGAACGGGCAAATTAGCGTTTTCGAGTACGTTGCACTTATCTGTTCATAATAGTACGGTTCGGGCGGGAGTTCAGAGTAGGGTTCGTTTTTTTTTTTGAACAAACAAAACACTTGGGTTTGAGCAAATGGGCTAGTCAGCCATCCGATCTGCGCGTCTACCTGAATCTATAGGTACTCAGATCCGTCTGATTGTCCTTGAGCTATTTGCTTCGAAATTTGGCCTATATGCCAGTACATCTCCGCTAAAGGAAGAGGAGCTAAAAAGAAAGTTTTTATCTTTATTTGATTCGCGGCTAAAAAGAAATAAATATTGTTCTTTTAAGTTTCTTTGAAGAAATATTATAGCGTAGAGTGTAGTATAAGGGTTACTTACATTAACTATGAACATACCGTACCTGGCGGTTCATAGACTGTCTCACTGTGAGTGTCAGAGCCTTAGCGGCTCGCGTCCTTGCGCCGCGTTTGCGGACGTAACTCGAGTCATTATTTTCCCGCTATGCTTTGGCTGGAGATGGCGAGCTGGGAAATGTAGAGCGGATTACTCGCAAACGCGGCGCAAGGTCCGAGCGAGGCGGTCGCGAGGACCCGGACGGAGTTCAGACACGCTCGTTAAAACAGCCTGTAAATAGGATTCATTAGGATGTGTTTATTTCCATAGAAGCTGTTCTTACCACATGTGGCGATCTTCATCCTTTTTTTTCTGCCCGTAGTTTGTCTATTACTATCAAATTGATATTTTGAGATGGCGCTAGTGGGAGATGTGGAACTGCGCAGTTTGGTGAAAGTCGAGCGTGTGGGTGCTCATTCGCACATTAGAGGCCTAGGAGTAGGAGCAAATTTTGATCCTGAAGATGTGGCTGATGGAATGGTTGGACAAGTTCGCGCCAGACGAGCAGCTGCCATCATTGTGAAGATGATCCAGGTTTACTTTCTTTGTTACTCAGTTTTTTCTTCTGAATGACAGGGCAGGGTAGACATTTCTTATGACTCTGTGCACAATAATGTTTTGTAGATTGTCCTCTACGGAAGATTTTATCCGCTCAATTTCTTTTCTCCATTTAACAACTTGTATTGGAATTTTCCAGACAGGCAATATTGCTGGACGTGGCGTTTTGATATATGGACAACCAGGAACTGGAAAAACGGCTCTTGCTATGGGCATTGCTAAAGCTCTGGGCGACGACACTCCCTTCCTATCGATATCGGCTTCCGAGATTTTCTCGGTAGAGATGAGTAAGAGCGAAGTGTTGATGCAATCATTTCGCAAAGCAATAGGAGTTCGTATCAAAGAGGAGACAGAGGTGCTTACAGTTGTCATCACTTGGACCATCTTTTCCATTAGGACGTTATTCTAGGTGCTCGAAGGAGAAGTTGTTTCAATTGAGATGGACAGACCAGTATCAGGAGTTGGCCCAAAAGTAGGATATTTTCTGCATAAGCGATGTAGTACGTACCTCAGACACTGATTTTAGGTAGGAAAGCTGTCGTTGAAGACTACAGATATGGAAACTATCTACGATCTTGGGAGCAAAATGGTTGACCAATGCATCAAAGAGAGAATTTGTGCTGGCGATGTGATCCAAATTGACAAAGGTTCTGGTAAGTGCTGTTGTCTTTTTTCTCTATGATGTAGGATTGTGAAAATGGCATTTTTCTGTTTGCAAATAATTTGAATGATTTTTTTTTAATTTATAAAAGCAAATAGATTTGTAAGGAAATTTCTGCCTCCTTAAAAATTTTGGGGATGGGCCCGCTGTCATTTGAAAAAATTCGTCAAAATTTTTTAGAGGTTGCGGCCAGCACGCCCCTTCATTCGCAAAAAAAAAACTTCTGTTGTCCTTACCCTTCGAACGAAATTTCTCTGACTTTTAAAATAGCTGCTTGTACTGGGCAAACGTTTCACCGAGCGTTGCGTGCTCCGCAGTGACTGTCAGTCCGTGCGGTTGTTGACTTATAGGCGATTCACTGAACGCAAAGGCAGGGCGTCACTACGGACGCTGTTGACGTCTCGCTGATCGAGCGCTTTTTCGTTACTCTTGCGGTTGATGTCTCTCCCATCGTGCTATCTTTGTCGAGCGCAATGGCTTCCAGCCTGTGCGTGCAATGAATCGCCTGTGCCTGTGGTCATTGATTTATTTTGTAAAAGGACGTAAAAATGGGACATCGATGCTATTACTCACTTTATCGGGGTCTTTAGGTGCAACTGTATCTGACAGATCTCCCACTAAAATTCAGCGTTGGCTTTCAGATCAGTAGCAAGGTGATTTCAGGGCGTATTTCTCGAGTTGGACGATCTGCAACACGCTCTCATGATTATGATGCGATGGGTCCTCAGACAAAGTTTGTCCCTTGCCCCAGCGGAGAGATCCAGAAGACTAGGTATTGTACAGTTTCCGTCAATCTCCACAGTCTATGGTGTGTTTTGAAGGGAAACGGTCCACACAGTTTGTTTACACGATATTGATGTGATCAACTCTCGCAGTCAAGGTTTTCTTGCATTGTTCACTGGGGATACTGGAGAAATCAAAAGTGAAGTTCGCGATCAAATAAACAAAAAGGTATGTTATTCTATTTCTAAGCAGAAATCGACTCCTAAGAGCATGTTTAAGGTTGCTGAATGGCGTGAGGAAGGAAAGGCAGCAATACAACCAGGAGTTCTCTTCATTGATGAAGCTCATCTCTTAGATCTCGAGTGTTTCTCATTCTTGAACCGTGCAATGGAATCCGATCTCAGCCCTCTGCTCATAATGGCGACTAACAAGTGAGACGCTTTATCAACAGTTCCAAAGTGCATGCGAATTGCCACAATGCCGGAAAAACGCAAATGCAAGCCACGCCCATTTTTGCTTCATGGGTTCGCATATTTCCGTACTGGCACCTCAAATCTTGTTTTTGCCGCTGGATTCGAAGCGTTTATACTATTCATATCACTGTTATATTATATATTTTTTCAAACCGTTATACTTTCCTCTCTTTCACTCCCAGCATGGGCGATTGCCCTTTGTAATAAAATCCTATAATCGCAAGATCCCGCACTTGCTCGAACACTGCCTTTATTGCTCGGAAAAGTGAGAAGAACTCTGGACTCACCCTCCTAATTTTGAGTCGAGAAATGCGCTGTCACTGAATAGTCATATAGGGAAAAAGGTCTTGTACGTGGAACCGATGTCGTAGCCAACTACTGTATGCCTCCTGACATTGTTGATCGTCTTATTGGTATCTGTACGAAGCCCTATACTGGCGAAGAGATAGGTCGTATCTTGAGTTTGCGCGCTGACGAGGAAGGAGTAAGGTAGGTCGGTTATCAAGAGATGTAGGTCTGATACATAGCACTTTCTTGAGGATGGAAGCCGCAGCTATCAATTTACTAAAAATGATCGTCGGCGAGACTTCGATGAGATATGGTATCCAACTCATTGCCGTCTCGAATGTCTTGAGAGAACGACGAAAGAAGCCTATGGTAAGTGACACATCACTCATACAGGCTGTCTCGACTGCAGTGTCTGAGCAGGGGTCGCGCACGGCCGCCTTGCCTGGTTCCTGCGCCGCGTTCCGAATATGTCTTCCGATAATCTCCCCAACCGTGAGCGTGAGAAAGGGCTCAGAGTCGAGCTTTGACGACGAGCCATTTTTCTGGTGTCTGTCCCTGTGGACGAACCGCTCCCAGGCATTTTTACGTCTGGCTGCATGTGCGAATGCATGCATTTATGCGTGAGGTACAGAAATGGAAATGCAGACGGGTGGGGCAGCTCCGCCCCTTGTGGCAAGCTTCGCCCACTTCTCAAAAAATGCTGGAAATTGCTCAGAATCAAAGAACTCGTGCCAACTGCCGACATCTTTGAAAAACGGGCGGATCTTGCCACTGAGGGGTGGAGCCTCCACACCGGGGGGTGGGGTTGGAATTAAAAGGTTATCTTGAGATTCCCCAGTTATCTACGAGTTTTTCTTGCAATTTGAGAACGAAAAATTTTTTTTGTAGTGGGAACACGAAGAACTAAAATTTAGGTGTCGCGCACCGTTGCGCGACATCGTCCGCAGGGGCAGACTGCCTGCCGCACACCATTGTGCGACACTGTCGCTAACGTGTTGATCCTTAACTAAACCGTGAATGGTCAGAAGGCGTTTATGAACGCGGTGCCCAAGCGAGGCGCTCAGGGGCCCGAGCCGCTGGTGCACGAAAGTGCAGTTGAGATAGCCTCCATATAGCCCACAATTGGTTCAAGATTGCTTCAATGCTTCATCAAGCATTATTTTTTCTTGCTTTCATTTTAGGTAACGAAGGACGAAATTAGCGCAGCTTATAAGATGTTCTATGACACAAAAAGGAGTGAAACATATTTAACACAAAATGCAAAGAAGTTCTTGTTGTGAATATACAGTTTTGTTTGTTTTGTTGATGCTTGTTTGTTATTAATTCTCTTCGATAAGCTTCTCCATGTTACATGAACTTTCATTACAGACACAACAAACAATTTACAGAATAGTATACAGAAAATTATATTAGCTGCCTACGCCACCAATTTGTAATCTACAAAATAACGTGTGAGGAGCACACTATGAGATGCTTTATGCAGAGCGAACTTTGATGCGTAGAGTATGTGTTGCGAGTCTCAGTTGAAGAAGTTCATTCTTCATTTCAGTGAAGCTGTTCTTCATCATCAGCCTGAAAAACCTTATGAAGATTTTGTGTACAAAAAGTAGTCGAATACTACATTGCAGAGCGTTGAGTTTCGTGAAGTAATCCCTCGTAGCCGGTTGCGTTTAGTGCCGTGTTCAAAGCATCCACTTCATGTCGTAGCTGATCGACCTCTTGGCTCAGCGATGAAACTGAAAGAGCTTACATTTATATTAGAGACTAGCTGGGATAGGAACATACGTTTTCAAAAACATATAAAGCACCTACTTTATGAAAAATCTTCAACTATAACGATACTTCAAATAAGCTGGCTATAACCAGATATCTAGTTCAGTAGCAGGCGAACTGGATTTCTGTGACCAAAAAATTTTGGTTTTTAACATTAGGTTGAACCGAAAGTTTGTTCGCACTATTTTCAAAAATTCGTCAGCCGGTCTTATAACTTTCACTATCGGCCTTATCTGACTGAGCTAAGTTTGCGCTGAATGAACATTTCTTAAATTTATGATTTATGAGCAAGCAGTACACAACAACAGCGAATTGGATTTAGCTTTTTCTTCGAAAATCACAACTTTTCATATGGAGGTTGAATCAACAAAACTTTGCCTCATTGGAAAAGGAGGTGATAGAACCTACAATACCGACTCCTCCGATTTTTGTTGCGGGTTTCAACTTTTTTACGTAAACACAGGAAACTCGAAAATTGAGTTATTTTCTTCTTCGGCTTTGATCTCTACAGCTTCCTTTGATCAAAATCAGAAGTGCTTTAGCCAATATTCGAAAGAACATGATATTCTCTTTCAAATAAAAATGAACATGTGCAAATCGGTTGAGAAAGAAGAAAGTTATGAATTTTCGAAAATGGAGAGAAGTACTTTTGATTACCTAATATAACGAAACTTGATAGAAATTCGCGTAGCCTTGAATAGTATACCTTCAACTACTCGTATAAAATTCATTACTCAAACATAATTCTTCATGTCATTGTATTATATCCTTAGGCTGTTCCTTTTGTATAGATCACAGGTGGTAACACTAGGAAAAGATTCAAATTTTCTGGGTTCTTCTGGGTTCAAATCAGTCAAGTTCTTCCATCATCGCTTCAATAATGTTTGATTGCAACAACATCATTGGTTAGTATATTGAACGTATTAGGTTGGCTCGAAAGTTCTTTCGCACCATTTCAAAAAATTCACTTTTGAATTTTTCAACCGATTTGACTACTTTTATTTTTTGTCAAAGAGTAAGTCATGCTCTTTACAATGACATATTAGCTGCTTACTAGTGGTCATCTATTGCATAGATAGGAGCGATGGAAGAAAATTAGTCAAAATTCAAATTTTCTGTGTAGGTTCATAAAAAATTGGAAACATGCAACAAAAATTGGAGCAGTCGTATTGTAGGTTCTTTCACCAGCTCTTTCTAACTATGCAAAGTTTGCGCTGATTGAGCGTCTCTATGAAAAGTTATGATTTTCGAGCAAGCAATACAAAAGGGCGAATTTGATTTATTTTGGCATTTTTCAGGAAAATCATATTTCATAGAGGCGCTCAATTAGCACTTTGCACTGTTATAAAAAGCTGGTGAAAGAACCTATAATACGACTGCTCCGATTTTTATTGCAAGTTTTCGATTTTTTATGACCCTACACAGAAAATTCGAATTTTGACCAATTTTCTTCTATCGCTCCTATCTATGCAACAGATGATCATTAGTAAGCAGCTAAGACGCCATTATAAAGAGCATGACTTACTCTTTTACATAAAAATCAAATTAGTCAAACCGGTTGGAGAATTCAGACGTTATGAATTTTTGAAAATGGTGCGAAAGAACTTTCGGGTCAACCTAATATTATGGGCTTGATACATATCTTCATCGTATCAAACATGGAACGGAAAATGGATGAAGAAACAGGAAACCTTGGGAACTTTTTACTGCTAGATCCATCATTCGCAATAGAAGTTTTGTTAAATGGTAACTTCTACTCTCAATAAATTTGGTCTTTACAGTACGTCAGAAGAAAAAAACCCTTTAGTATCGTTTGTAGCAAGAATATGTTGATGCACGGATGATGATCAAAGAAAACAACTTCTATAAGAATCGGTAGTTGGAAAAGCCAAATCATGCAAACTCTGAATTTATTTTTAGCTTTGGTTTCGCGAACTAGCCTCTGTTTCACTGAAGATGGCTTCTGGAAGGCGGGGCTTCGGTGGATTAGAGAGCACATACGAGAGGGAAATGCAGAGCCTGCATCTCCCACGTTTACTTGCTCTCTAATCGACCGAAGCCCCGCCCTGCTGCCCGACTCCAGTGATATACAGGGTGCCTTTCTAACAAGAGGAGTTGGTGTTAATCGAATATCTCGACATATTGTTGAATTTTTATTTTTTTAACCTTTTTGTATGGTCCAGTTATTTTTCAGTATATGTTCTATACATTATCTATACGTAACGGACAACACACTATTTGAAGTAATTATATTTTGGAACAATGCAGAACGATTTTTTTCTCTATATCTTGTAAAAGACTCACGTATCGAACTGACAAGTTCTAAATGATTTATCTGCATGCAAAAATTCCAACTCATGTAAGGTACTGCTCAATTCCTATTCCAGCTATCCAACTTACTTACCTTGCTCATCCAGTGTAAAGCGTTCGTTGGCCAATGATGATCTCTGCGATTGTCGCGACAATGTATGCTAAAATATCTGGTGTGTGCGCCAAAACAACTCAAAAAGATGAAAGATTAGACCCACCATCTCCGCCAATTTGTCAATCATATCTTGATACATTTCTCTCATAGACTGCTCCTTCTCCACATCCGCATCTGAGTTTTTTGAGGATAAAGTGCTTTCCAGCTCGTCGACCTTCACTTGTTCGTGTTTCTCAGCTTCTAGAGCTCTGAAAGAAATACGACATCCGCTTCCTGAGTTCATATGAGTTCATATCCAGATTCAGGTTTTTTTCCTGAATTGTGAAAAACGAAGAACAAGATAAGAGCGATGCTTGGCTTATTACAACAAAACAGTGTTAATGAAGCATATTGACCGCTCCATGACAAATGAAGCTCAACTAGTAGTTCATGGCAGGCTCTTGTTCACATATTACTAATGCTTGCTCGGAAAGGGTGATGACTATCAACTTAAGCCTTTCCAGGACGTGTTGCATGCTCAGTTTGATACAAGAGAATCTTGACGATTTAGAATTTGCGACTGTGAGATATTTGTGCACTGCCGGCACTTCACGCGAAATAATCGAAGACACACTTTCTTTTCGCGCTTTCATCCATTAAAATGTTATAATGTTATTCAGGCCGGCGAAATCAGGCAGCGGCCCAGAAGTTGGTAAAGCCTAGACGCCTTTCCTCATGGGCGTAGCATATCGCCTTTGAAGACAGTGTCCGGACAAGGTGAGGGTTTCGGGAGTTCAGTGCCATGCGAAAGTGGCGGCCCACATAAGCGGCATCGCGCAAGTGCGAGGTTATGACGTTCGACTACGGCAAGAAAAAAGATCGAAAAGTGGGGAAACTTACGCCTTGGGGCGGGGTTCTCCACTTGGTTAAATTTGTGTTCTGCGGTATAGTTAGAACCGAATATTCGTGTTCGAATATTTTATTCGAAATATTCGACTATTCGAATATTCGAATAGTCGAATATTCGAGAAAGTCCAATTATTCGATTATTCGAATAGTCGAATAAGTGAAAAAGGCCTGTATTCGAATAATTCGTTCATTTGATGATTTGAAAAAATGAGTTATTCGAATATTCGTTTATTCGAGGATTTTTAAAAAACAGTTACTCGAATATTCGAATATTCGAGCCAACTTGAAAAACAGTCATTCGAATATTCGAATATTTCGGAACATTCATTCGAACATTCGATGTCAAAAGAAAACTTCAGTTGTTCTACACTGAGTACAAGTATGTCCCCGATCGGTCAATCACTCAAATGAATCATATGACAGAATGGCTAGCAAGCTTCCCTTTTTAAGGCATAAGTCGCGAATCATGCCAGAGCATAGTGATGCAAGTCTTATGCATAATTCATTTGGAGTGCTGAACTATCTTCTGGAAATCGAGTCTGAGAAGCTGAGATGGATATCATGCGGAAATACCTCCAAACTCTAAAATGGGTGAAGAAGAAAGCCGTCATTGGGCGCTCTTTAGCGAACCACCGGTCCTCAAACAGCTTGCATAAGCATGTGAAGGACCAGCTCCTTTAAAGGGCCGGGCATACTTCACGCGATTTTAGTCGCGAGTGACCAATTCGCCAAAGGTCTTCAGATCCAACATTAGCAAACTGCACATGCATAGTACGTATAACTTAGGTGGACTGATAAAATGTTCTGTCTTCTGCACTTATAAAATGTGCTTATAGTGAGTTATTGACAATTGGAATATTGCCAAATCGCGTCGCGACTAAAATCGCGTGAAGTATGCCCGGCCCGTAAGGCAGCACGTATAGGCAACATTCATTCGCTCATTCATCTCGAGATCTCCACTTGCCTTGCCAGCCTAATCACCGCCCGCATGTCAAAATACCTGAAAGATACATTACCATCGCAAGGCCAGAGCAAGGTGGTCGTAAGGACTGAGCCGCTTGACTTGTGGCGGCAGCCTGTATGTCAGTCACTATATTCAAATCGGCTGCCCTTATAGTCAGGAGGCGTAAAAGAAACTAGTGTTAGGATGTTGCAAAGTTCGTAGAGGAATTATAACTTCAAGTAGGCGTATAAGTTGAACAATAATTATTTTTAACCTGAGTAAAAGAGATGGAAGATTCCTTACAACAGTACAAACCTTAAAGATATAACCAAAACAACTTCGTGAAAATTCAATCCTACAAAAGAAACTGTGAAACTCAGCGATTGATAATTTCCGACAAGTACTAGATTAGCAACTAAATTACAGATATTTCCAGGATTCTTTTCTGGATTTGGATGCGCACAAAAGTATTATGTAGACAACAGTGCGCCACCTCTGCTGCAGAGGCTCACTGATTCTATAGGCCTACGTAGGCCTGGAAATATCTGTAATTGTCTGTACTGTACTTACTGTAGGCCTTCCTCGTGTTCTCCCAGGGCTAGTCTCAGAACTCACACAATGCTGACCATCACGAATAAGTTACGAACAACTACAACCTATTCTGAAAGGCTTTCCATGTTGAATCTTCAGCTTTGGGAGGAAGTTCTGTTTAGCTTTGGGAAAAACTTCTGTGAGGAAGAATAAATGCGGAATTAAAATGGTTACTAAGTAAGGCTCTGTAGCCATCTCAAAAGCCGATGAACACCTTGAACTACATGTCTGAGTGAAATTCTTTTATTTTCTAGGTAGAACCCTGACCAAGTGACAATAACCCAGTCATCCTTACCATTTGCTACGCATATAATTATCAGAGCTACAAATCTAGATCACATATAGCTATTATTTTTTTGCAGAAAACTGCAACAAAGAAAAAAAACAGCATTGTTTGTGGCGCTAGATTATTTGAGTTATTCGAATAGTCGAATATTCGGAGAGGTATGATTATTCGAATAGTCGAATAGTCGATTATTCAACCATATGTAATTATTCGATTATTCGAATAGTCGAATATTCGGCCAACACCATTTATTCGAATATTCGTTCATTCGAATTTTGAAATGTAGCGTTATTCGAATATTCGAATTCGAATAATCTGAAAATCACAGATCGAATAATGCTCGTTCGTTCGAATATTTTTCAAGAGCCGATTATTCGAAATTTATTCGTTCGACGAAATGTTTCGCTCGTTTGAACTATATTTTGCGGCAGAGTACGCATGCCGACACAGTTAAAATCGTAGGGTCCCGCAGCAACTCTGCGTCTCAGCCTTGGCGGGATCGTTCGATGTCAAATTGTAAGGACTTCGAAAACGCATGTTCTCACCACTTTCGAGTCTTCTGATGTCGGTTTTCGGATTCAGCGTTACGGATAACCCCCGGTAAGTGTATTTTCTAAAATCGAGTTTATGCCCGGACACCGCCTTTAAAGAAGTTGCGCACATTCTGGACTATTCCTCCTATTTGCCCCCCCCCCCCACTGGTGAATCTCACAAGTTGTGCAGGCTGCAGGAAGAGTAGTACTCATGTTCTGATGAACGAATGAATGAATGCAGACGGATGAAAATTGATAGAAGGAAAATTATGAAGTCTAACCAACTGGAACATGTTACTTGTTGCATTATAGGGAAGAGAAATTTGATACTGAGCCGATCCTTTGACCACGCGGCGACAAATGACAAATTTTTGACGAGTGATTTCCATTTCTTCACAGTTATTCTTCTGGTACTGGAAAGGGTTTTCAGGTTTTCCTATGAAATTATATCAATAAGTTTTTTCAGGTGAAATGTTTCATAGTCACTGCTCGCTGCTCGTGCTAACTTCAAACATTGCAGTCAACACTGATAGAGTCACTACAGTAACTTTGACAATCCGTGCCGCTTGTCTTTGGTGACTTCCTCATTAAAATAATGAACTTGAAATTCACTTCTTGCATTTTCTCCGCCCAGCCATTCCCGCAGTCGGCACAGCTCTGAATGAGACAAGGACTGCAATGGAGCGATGGGCGAATGTGCGAATGCTGGTGCTAATTATGGGCCTTGAAAGTGTTAGAAACTCCTAGACTATTCAGCGTGGGATGGGAAAGCGTCCTCGGGACCCTTAAAGCATAAAGTCGTAACCTTGTTTTATCTCGGAGCTACACGCATTCTCGTCTAGCACTGCTTAGGATAGAGAAACGGTACATTACACAGGGTTACCGGCAAGTATGGGTGTTACAACATTTACCACATACAACATTTTCGTGGAACATGGCGGTGTTCTAATGTGTAGCTAATGTGTAGCTTCTGGACAGTCTCTATTTTGAGATGAAGAGAAACTCGAGAAAATTCTCCGGTGCAAAAAGGAATCCGGAGTTTGTTTCCCCTTGAAAGGCGCTGCGCTGCAGTCAGTCAGCATCATGTGTAAAATACGTGTTTTGTACCAGGAAAGAGAATCTTTTAATGTTACAGGACTGTCTTATTTCTCAGAATTTACCCTACAAAGCTCAGGCTCACAATCTATTCGATTATTAACCGGACTATTGCCGCGGATTCGCAATGAGCACATCTTCACATAACATTTCCGAAGCGCTAACTTCAAGATAAGCTGGTGCGGTCTTATGCATGTGCAGGAACCCAGTCGTACACTACCTTTGGTATACAAAAATAGTTTTGCACAACTTTGTTTTCTATGAAAGATTTTGCAGCAAAAGATGTGACGATATACCATACTTTTCAGCAACCATTTAGAGTGAAGGTATTGATGGGAGTGCGCAGAAATGTAGGTGTGTCCAAACACCCTCGGACAACACTTCCAAAGATTGAGTGCTGACAAATTTTGGTTTTCTAACATTATAACAAAAGAATTGTTGTTTTACGTTGGGAAAAAGCACCATCGAAATGTATTCATTGCATATCGCATGTACAAAACCAAAAACTATAGCCCCTGAACCAAAATTCATTACCCTACAGCTGTAGCGATATTATGGCCCGCGCAGCCAAAGCATAAGCGTTGAAGCGTACAAATTGTTTCAGAAGATTGCATAGGTCGCTTCGGCTCATTTTGTTCATGAACAGCCTTTTCCATTTAGAGATAGATTACTTTAATGGTCGTGCTACGACGACTTCATGTCTCCACTGAAGACACGAAGCTAGAGTTTCTCTAATTTTTGGCGGGCCCTACCTTCTAGTCAATAAAGAATTCCTTGAAAAATCTACATTGTCTTGTGCTCTTCTTTGCTTTATTTGGAGCAGCACTATGGATGTTCCGCGCGAGCGAGACAGAAACGGATTCGATCAATGCCTGTGAGTAAAGCATTAAAATTTGATTTTTCACAAAACTA